AGGTGGCTGGTGTGTGTGTGTGTGTGTGTGTGTGTGTGTGTGTGTGTGTGTGTGTTTGTGTGTGTGTGTGTGTTGAGGAGGGTCGTGAAAAGTTTCCACACCACTTTCTCTACATGCCTTGAGATCTGATCCCCAGTGTCAACCGCATTGACATGTTGAGCACTGTCCTTGATTTCACTCACCTCCTAACATCTCTTTATCATAGTCTTAGCAACCTTTGTGTAACATTTAATTCTTAAAAAATGTTGAAAGACACGACTTTTGACAAATGTGCTTGTGGATACAACGGGCATCCCCAACCGCACAACTTCCTGAAGGTTTAGAGCAGAACTGCCCTAGAGAAATATGGGTCACATCTATAATTAAAATTTTCTAGTAGTCATCTTTTAAAAAGTAAAAAGAAGCAGGTGATTTTAATAAAATGTTTTATTTAACTAAATATATCCAAAGTATTGTCATTTTAACATGTAATCAATGTAAAAATTATTGATAAGGTATTTCATATTCTTTCTTTTTTTTTGGACTCAATCTCTGAAATCTGGTGTGTATATTTGCAACACATTTCAATTCAGATCAGCCTCCTTTCAAGTGCTCAAAAGTCACACGTGGCTAGTGGTTTCTGTCTCGGAGAGCATCTGTGCTAGGAGTCTAGGTCTTATCCTAGTGCTTGGGCCAGCCTCTTTCTCTCTCTGGCCTCAGAGGGAAAACAAGGACCACTGGCTCTGAAATGCTCTGTCCAAGGTTCCTCTTTGAGCCTGTTGGGTGGGGAGCCCTGCTGTTTGTGGAGATAGGCCAATAATGCTGGCTCTTGAACCCATCAACAGAGATGCTCAAAACCTCTTAGAAGTAGCTAGCAGTGGGGCTGCCATGTCCGTGAGGGTCGTGACCAACATCGCAGCCAACCTGATTGCTTTCCTGGCTGTGCTGGCCTTCATCAACGCTGCCCTCTCCTGGCTGGGAGACGTGATGGACGTCCAGGGGCTCAGCTTCCAGGTACAGTTCCGGCCACCCACGCAGCCTGTGGAGGTGGTGGTCCTGGTCGGTGGGTGATGGTGGGTGGACACCCACAGAGCCCAGGCCAACCCCAGTCCCAGCCACTCCTCTTGCCTCATGCCTAGGCTCATCTGCTCCTATATCCTGCGGTCAGTGGCCTTCTTGATGGGCGTGGCCTGGGAGGGCTGCCCGGTGGCGGCTGAGCTGCTGGGAATGAAGCTGTTTCTGAACGAAGGGCGCCGAGGAGTGGGCCGGTTCCAGGAAGCAGTGGTTCTCTGTGAGTGTCCCTGTCCCCTCCCTGGGGCAGGGCGTGATGCAGCGGCTCCCCTGTGGGCCCGGCTGAGACACACTGAGGGGCTGCTCAACCTCCCACATCCCGTTGCCCTGGGCAACAAGACAGCTTCAGAGGCCATCTTTCTCAAGGCCTCTTAGGAGGCTGAGGTTGAGAAAGAGCCCCGTTGGAGGTATCTGAGCTCCAGCTGTAGACAGGCCACCATCCTGTGCGGCCCTGGGCCAGCCGCTGCACCTTGCCTCTTCTGTTGGAAAACAAGTGTAGAACCTGCCACGCCTACCCCGAAGGAATGGATGGGAGCATCTAATGAGCTAAGAGAGTAAAACAGGGAGACCTCACCACAACATTCATCTTCAATATATTGGATTCAGTTCAGGGGTTGGTTTCTTCTGTTAAGACTTATTTGTTTATCTATCTATCTATCTATTTATTTATTTAGTTGCAGCACGTGGGATCTTTTTCTTTAGTTGCAGCATGTGGGATCTTTTAGTTGCGGCATGCGAATTAGCATGCAAAGTCTTAGTTGAGGCATGTGGGATCTAGTTCCCCGACCAGGGATCAAACTGGGCCCCCTGCATTGGGAGTGCGGAGTCTTAGCCACTGGACCACCAGGGAAGTTCCTGTTAAGACATTAAAAAAAAGAAAAAAACTATAAAAGCTTTCTAAAATGAAACTCTCTAAAATAATAACAGCTGTATGTAACATGATTGAGAATGACAAAATTACCCATCATCTTATCATCCAAAAATTACACCTATTATAATATATAATATAATTATAATTAATTATATTATAACAAATATAATAATATAATATATAATTCCATTATTTGGCTATTATACACAACACTGAAATGAATAGCTTTTTGCACAGAACTTCTCCCTCCTCTCCGAGCATTTCCTCAGGAGCTTTCCCAGATGTGGGATGACTGAATCACATGGCAAGGATCCTCATGTGGTTGCTGCCAGTATCTTTCCCAAGGGGTTGTAACAACTGAAACCGCCCCAGCTGCGCCTGTGAGCATTGATTTTACCACACACTGAACAGGGCTGAGTAGCCTCTTAAAAAAAAAGTTTTGATACGTTAAGAGGCAAATAATAGTTCATTGTTTTCATTTGTTACTGGGTTACTAGGAACTTTTAACATAAAATTTTTTTCTTGCCTTTTAAATTATTTTTTAATTGTAAAGGAATGTACTCTTTAGTTTAAAAAAAAAAAGTTTGTATGGAGTAAAAAGCCCAGGTTTCCCTTCACTCCTCATTTTCAGCTCCAGTATCACTCCCTTCTCTAGAGATAGTGGGTGGTATGTGCTTTCAGGATCTTTTTAAATGAACTTCATTCCTTCAGCAAGTATCTGTTGAGAACTCTGAAGTGCCAGGCCCTCTGCTGGGTACCAGGGATAAAAAGGGGAATTTGACAGACATGGTCCCTGGTGACATGGAACTTACACCTAGTGAAAGACATGAGCAAAACGCAAGAAAGCAAAGGAATAAAAAATTTTAAAACTACAATTTGTGGTAAGTTCTATGATGGAAACAATAAGAGGAAACAGGGAGGGGGTCTTCCTTGACTGGGCTGGTCAGAAAAGGCCTCCCTGAGATGTGGTTATTAGGCCAAGACTTGCAGGGAGGAGGAGGGGCCAGGAGAAATTGGGAAGAGCATTCCAGGCAAAGCAAGAGGCACATGCAAAGCCCTTGAGGTTGAAAAGCACTTGTTTGGAGAACTGAGAGGAGAGCAGTGAGGTTAGAACAGGTGGTAATTGTAAGAGAGTGACACAGGCCGAGGAGCAGTAGGAAGTTACTGAAGATTTGACTTTTGAAATTTTAAGATTACTTGGGCGGCTTGGGAGGGTGATTGTGAGTAAGCAGAATGCAGGTACTTTAATATTTTTTCACCAATTTGTATAAACTCTGTGTGTTATAAAGATATTAACCCTTTTCTGTTACATTTTCTACATATATTTTTCCTAGTCTTTTTTTTCTCCCCTTCATTCTGTATTCAGGGATTCTTTTAAACACAAAATTTACACCACATCTTTGCATTTCTTCTGTAATATCTAAATTTAGAAAGTTATCTCCATTCCAAAAATCTGGCAAGGGTTAAATTCCTGAGTCAATATGGTGAAGCAGTTAAAATCAGGCGTTTTGGAGTCAGACAAAACTGAGTTCAAATTCTGACACAGCTGCATTTTTGCTGTGTGAACTGCCTCAGTTTGTTCCTCTCCAAAATGAGAGTCATAATATTATTTTGTAACAATAATAATTATTCTATATTTCCTATTATTTGATGTTTAAAATAGTAATATTTATCTGCTTCAGTGATTTAGAAGTAATTTTTTATATGGTGTGAGGTATGTGTCTAAGCCAATCTTTTTTTCCAAATTGTTCCATTTTGGCTCTTAACACTTCTAAGAAATTACTCAACCATTCAGAGCAAAAGGGAAGGAGAATTACCTTGCTTAAATACCTCCCCTGTGCCTGGTACTTCCTGTACATTAGATGATCTTTATGACAGTCTTTCCAGGCAGCTACTATTACTCCCACATTCCTGATGGAGAAACTAAAACTTAGGAGGCTATCGACTTGCTCAACCTGAAATAGGCCGTGACAAGCCTGGAACCCAAGCCAACTGGGCTCCGAATCCCTCCCTCTCTTCACTGGGCCACCATCCTGCTCTTTGGGCATGACAGCACCTCAAAGGACCTCAGCCTGAGCGCATTCTCCGTAAACAAAGGTGCGGGGCTGCAGCGTGTCAGGAAGGCCCGTTCGCCCACTGCTCCTGGGTACAGAGCTTAGTAGGGCCAAAGTGAGAGGACTGGGCCAGCCTGAATCATACCCAGAAAGGCTGGTAATTAAGGAGATTGAAGGGCAGATGAGGAGGGGGCTATGTTTGTGAGGTTGTGCAGCTTGAGTTGACTTAGAGGTAGGTGTGCATGGCGGGGAAAGGGCAGCACCGAGTGATTCAAAGGTCAAAGGCACATAGGCAGTGGGTGAAATTAAGGCCAGGGTATGGGGTGGTTTGAGCAAACTCCCATCCCATCTGAGGGAAGCCCCTCCCCGCTCATCTTCTGTCTTCTCAGGTCAGAGCAGAAATACGACGTTTGCCCTCTGTGGATTTGCCAACTTCAGCTCCATTAGGATCATGCTGGGAGGCCTGAGTGAGTCCTATAGGGGCCTCTTGGTATCCTGGAGAGTCGGGGATGGACACTAGTCCTGGCTCTGAGACATTTCTTGGGGATCTGTAGGTCTCTGTTCTGCCATTAGTCTAAGGCAGAGCCTGAACAAGGCGGCCGTGGAGCTTCCTCCCAGCCCCGGCATTTCGTGATTTCTCTACTGCTGGGGTAGCCCAGGAGGTTAGCACCTTGGCCTTGTAGGCCAAGCCTAGCTCAGGGCTCTGGGGAGGGTCAGGAGGTGCGGTGGTGACCCGCCCCCTGAGGCTTTAGTTCCCGTACCCACAAGGGACAGGCAGGCCTGGAGGGGCCTAGGGGAGAAGGCTCTGCACAGCTCTCAGCTCTTTACAAAAAACATTTCCACCCCCTGCAGTTCCCTGCCTGGTGGTGTAACCATCCCATTTTTCTGAGTCTTGCAAAAGTGCATGGCCCAAGTCACTCAGCTAATAAGTGGCTGAACCTGTGTTTAATTCCAGGTCTGCCTGACTCCAAACTCATGTTCTTTTCCTACACTTGCCACTGATGGCATGTGGGGAGGCGTGAAGTGCTACCTAGGGGCCCGACTCAGGCCAAGGAGGACTCCCAAACTCAAAAGCATCAGGAGGACAGCGTCTGTCCCTCTGGCCACCCAGAAGAGAAAGGGGTATCAGCAGATGCAGCCAGAGGCACAGATACAGGCAGAGGGGCATGCTGAGTCCTGGCCCTGAGCACTCCTGTCCTCTTGCAGCCTCCATAGCCCCCCAGCAGAAGAGCAACTTCTCCCAGATCATGCTCCGGGTGCTCTGCACGGGGGCCTGTGTGTCTCTGGTGAATGCCTGCGTGGCAGGTGAGTGCAGGCCTGGTGGGCTCAGGACTCAGAGCCCTGATTCTCCAGCTGGCCCTGGTCCAGGGCCAGGCACTGGGGCTCTGGCCTCTCTGGAAGTCCTTGGGTGGGGTTGGAGGGTAGTGAGGGGCTGGGCCCTGCCCACCAGCTGCTTTCCCTGCACAGGGATCCTGTACATGCCCGGGGAGCTGAGGTCGACTGTGTGTCCCTCCTGAACACGACCCTCAGCAGCAGCAGTTTTGAGGTGTACCAGTGCTGCCGCCAGGCCTTCCAGAGGTGAGAACCTGGGCCGTGGGGCAGAGGGACCCTGACAGTGATGGGGTGCAGGAGGCCCGATTTCCCGGCGGAGGCCTTTGGCACCAGAGCAAGGGATAGAAATGTCATGGCTGTGGCTGATGTGACCAAGGGAGGAGGAAGTGGGGCTTGAGGACCAAACTTAGAGATGAAGTTTGGACCAGAGACATGGAGCAACTTCCCCAAAGTTGCACAGCCTTTAGTGGCTAGCAGAGCCAGGCCTAGAGCTCAGACTGCAGCCTTTGCTTCTTTTCAGCACCGACCCAGAGTTCACCCTAGAGGCCCTGGACAACTGCTGTTGATTTTATAACCACACGATCTGTGCATAGCAGGGACAGAACATCTCTGTGCCATCTGGAGGCAGCTGTCCCCATCTCTCTCTCTCCAGGCCCACCCCCTTGGGGAAGCCGCAGGGCTTAGACCCACCTCAGTCATAAATTGGGAAGGGTGACAGGGTGAGTGGGCAGAGTGAGTACATAAGTAAATGAGGGATGCCCCCCCCACTCGTCACCACCTTTCTGCTCTCCCATTTCCTACCTCCCCAAGTGTGAATTCTCAGGGTCACCTCTGCCTCTTCTCTCCTCTCTATATCCAAACAGCTCCCTGCTCTTCCCTATACCCCCTGCCCTGGGTCTCCCCCATTCACCCTTCCCTTCTGCTCCAGGGCCCTCAGCCCTGGCATTTCAGCTGATTCCTTCCCCCTCCTCTCTAGGCGCTGGAATCTTGCTGCGGTTTAGCCCCTGCCAGGCAGCTTCTCCTGGAGACCCCTTCCTCTACTTCCAGAGACTCCCCACTGCCTTCCTCCATAGCACTTGCCACACTGGTGTCCTGTGGAACACTGTCCCACAAGGTATGCAGAAGTTTCCATGATCCACTGCATTTGGGAAACACTAAGCTAAAGAAAGTTAGGGGTTTTTTGTTTGTTTGTTGTTTGTTTACTGTGGACTCATCAGTTTGATGTGGGTATAATAGGAGACATTTTCCAAATTTGGCTATAAGAATCTTTTTGATAGAAGCATCTCTTAGTTGAGGATTCCATGGAAAACAATTTGGGAAATATTGGTTAATGTTCAGACTGCTTTACTCTACATAACTGTAACACTTGCAAATGTAACAGAGCACTGTGTGTCAGTGCACTGTTCTCAGTGCTTCATACTTTGTAACTCAGTCCCTACAACAACCCTGTGAGTCAGATACTATTATTATCCCTAGTTGAGGAACCAGAGTCCCAGAGATGTTAAGTAACTTGCCTAAAGTGGCACAGCTGGGAAGGGGAAGAGGCAGAATCCCCGCCATCCAGTTCCACAAGCTGTGGTGTTTCATCTCTCTGCTAGGCTGCTAACGTGCAAGGAGCTCGGTTGTGTGACTTGTTCTGACCCCCTCTGCTTGCCTTTTCTCCCCAGCCCAATCCCTCTGCTCCAGTAGGTCAGGCATATGATGTGTTTTCCCTGCCTGTAAGCCTTTGTTTCTGGAGTTCCTTTCACCCAGCACATCCTGCCCTATGCTCCTCCCACCTCCATCCTCATTTCCCCAGCAGCTTTGGCTGCGGTGAACTGCAGTGCACCTGTCCCTGAGGCCACAGGGCCCCTGTTCCCTCACCCACCTCTGTTGGATCAGGCTTCCCAGCTGGGGCCTGAGGCAGAGGGAATATGGAGCGTGGTCAGCAGTTACCCTGCTCGGTCAAGGATTTGGGCTCTACTGGGCACTGGTCTTGCTCCTTGTGACCCCCCCAGGCTAGCCCTGGGTCCCTTACTCAGGGCCCAAGTCCTTGCCCTTAGCTCTGCACAGCAGAGTCTTGGCCTGACTCTCATACCCCATGGCTAGGCTCTTGGCTTGCAGCTTCTGAGTCAGGATTGGCCCAGATGCCTCCACTCACCCCACCCATAGCCATGACAGGCATTGCTAATCAATCACAGGACTCCTTGCACTGAATCCAGAAGCGGCTTCAGAATCCATATCAGCTCAATGCTGGATGAGCCCACCTCCAAGTAATTCTAGGTGCCTTTTCTAGGTGGCACACTATTTGCCACTCCTGTGCTAAGAAACAGACCCTAAGAACCCAAATTGCCATTGATTTTGTCTCGCTGGCCTGTGAATGTCTAAGGTTTTTGTCAAAGACTAGAAATCAAAGGGGGTTGGAGCAAAGAGGAATCCTTGCAAAGAATGAATCCTGTGTAAGTGGTTTGTCCACTCTGGGTTTATGTATTGTTTATTTATTCAATCAAGGGATATATATTGAGTACCTACTTTATTACTTGGCTTGGGCCACTATAACAAAGTACCACAGACTGGGCAGCTTAAACAACAGAAACAACAGTTTTGGAGGCTGGAAGTCCAAGATTAGGGTGCCAGCATGGTCGGTTCCTGGCTTACAGAAGGCCACCCTCTCACTGTGTCCTTTTATATGGCAAAGAGAGAAGGCAGCTCTCTGGTGTTTCTTTTTTGTTTTTTGTGGTACGTGGGCCTCTCACTGTTGTGGCCTCTCCCATTGCGGAGCACAGGCTCCAGACGCGCAGGCTCAGCGGCCATGGCTCACGGGCCCAGCCGCTCTGCGGCATGTGGGATCCTCCTGGAATGGGGAACAAACCTGTGTCCCCTGCATCGGCAGGTGGACTCTCAACCACTGTGCCACCAGGGAAGCCCTGGTGTTTCTTTTTATAAAGGCAATAATCCCACTCATCATGGGAGCACCACCCTCCTGACTTCTTCTAATCCTACTTACATCCCAAAGGGCCCATCTCCAAAAACTGTCACATTGGGGATTAGGGCTTTAACATATGAATTTAGGGGGCACACAATTCAGTCTGTAACACCTACTATGTGCTGGACTCGGAGCTAGGCAAGGGGACAAGCAGTGAACCAGACTCTGTAATGAGCTAAAGAACTGGAAACTTCCTTCAAGAAGAGGGTCAACTGGGGAGGGAAGCCCCAACAGAGACTGGATGGAGGCAGCTCCTGGCAAGGATTGCTTGAGAGGAGGGAAGGGGAAAGTGACTCTAGCAGCGCTTGTGGGGCACCCATATGTGGCCTGGCCAATGGATTTTTTTAGGCTCTTAGTAGATTAGAAAGTGAAAATAATGCCAGAATAGGATTATACAAATTGCCATTTAAATTGTCGTATATATTAACACAGAATACACTGTAGTATCAGGTTATCCACTAGATAATGAAAAGACTTTTTTTTTCCAACTAAAGCCCAGTTCAATAATTTAAAAAGCCATTTTTATTCATATTTAAATATTTTTCTTTCATATTTGAAAGCGCCAAATCCTAGTCATTAGACCACCAGGGATATATCAAATATTTGAATGTGACTGCGTGTTTTTAGTTTTCTTGAAATACGTAGATTCTGTGTTCTTCTATATTTAGTGTAATAACAACATAAAAGATATATTCATCATTTTTTAAAAAATTATTTTATTGAAGTATAGTTGATTTACAATGTTGTGTTAGTTTCTGCTGTACAGCAGAGTGATTCAGCTCTACATATATATATGATAGTTTGCATTTGCTAATCCCAAACTCCCAATCCATCCCTCCCCTACTCCTCCTCTCCCTTGTTCTCTATGTCTGTGAGTCTGTTTCTGTTTCATAGATAAGTTCATTTGTGTCATATTTTAGATTCCACATATAGGTGATATCATGGTATTTGTGACGTACTTTTTTTTTTTACTCTTTCTGACTTAACCTCACTCACTATGATAATCTCTAGGTCCATCCACGTTGCTGCAAATGGCATTATTTCTTTATATTTTATGGCTGAATAGTATTCCATTGTATATATATATGCCACCTCTTCTTTATACATTCATCTGTTGATGGACATTTAGGTTGTTTCCCTGTGTGGCTATTGTAAATAGTGCTGCAGTGAACATAGGGGTACATGTATCTTTTCGAATTATAGTTTGGTCTGGGTTTATGCCCAGGAGTAGAATTGCAGTATCATATGGTAGCTCTATTTTTAGTTTTTTTGAGGAAACTCCATACTGTTCTCCATAGTGGTTCCACCGATTTACATCCCCACCAACAGTGTAAGAAGGTTCCCTTTTCTCCACACCCTCTACAGAATTTGCTGTTTGTAGACCTTTTTTTTTAAAATAAATTTATTTGTTTTATTATTTTTATTTTTGGCTGTGTTGGGTCTTCGCTGCTGCATGTGGGCTTTCTCTAGTTGTGGTGAGCGGGGGCTACTCTTCATTGCGGTGCATGGGCTTCTCATTGCGGTGGCTTCTCTTGTTGTGGAGCACAGGCTCTAGGTGTACGGGCTTCAGTAGTTGTGGCACACGGGCTCAGTAGTTGTGGCTTGCAGGCTCTAGAGCACAGTCTCAGTAGTTGTGGCGCATGGGCTTAGTTGCTCCGCGGTATGTGGGATCTTCCCAGACTAGGGCTCAAACCCGTGTTCCCTGCATTGGCAGGCAGATTCTTAAACACTGCGCCACCAGGGAAGCCTGTTTGTAGACTTTTTAATGATGGCCATTCTGACCGGTGTGTGGTGATACCTCATTGTAGTTTTGATTTACATTTCTCTAATAATTAGTGATGTTGAGCATCTTTTCATGTGCCTGTTGGCCATCTGTATTTATCATTTTAAATTAAGCCCTGGCGGGATGGCCTGGTCATGGACTCCTTTCAGTCACATGACTATATGAATGACCTCATTTGGAGAGATTAGTAAAAGTCTACATTGGAAGCCCTTTCTGGATTGGAGACTCCTGTCCCCCTCCTGGTGCCCTCTGCTGCCTCCTGCATGTGCCTGACCATGAGCAAAAGGAAACAAAAGGGCTTCACTCATGGAAAGGGCTGGATGCCCAGAGCATGGTGAGAGCAGGGCTGGCTCTTTCCCAGGCAGGGCTGGCTGTGGCTGCCCACGGAGCTGACCACAGACACGCTCAGAGCAGCCAGAGATGCTGCCCCTGGGGGCACCGCAGAGGGGCTATCCTGCCGGGGCGGGGGGGAAGGGGGGAGGTAAGAACAGTATGCCCTGTAGGGAAGGTCACTGTCATAAGCTCAGTGGGATGAGGCCCAGACAGGAGCCCATTGGTGGGTCCGGGCTTCACTCTGATGTCTGGGAGTGAGGGGTACATGCAGAGTGGGTGTGGAGAAGGGAGCAGCCCGGAACACCAGAGCCTGTGTTAGGCCACACCCAGTGGGGTCCACTCTGTGCTGAAGACCATTTCCCCCCCAATTCGTCCTGGACCAATACTTGTATAAAGGACAATACAAGTGAATTACTGGGAAAATAATAATAATAATAAAGGCATCTTTATTGTTACATTCAACACACATAAGATTACTCTGTCAAATTGCTATGCAGTTTCTGAATGTCACT